ATAGCCCCACAGAACCTCACTGACCTACACAAGGCGAGGTCAGTGAACAAGACCAGGCTGATTCTGGCAGATCCTGATCATCCTGTCCGTGGTGAGTTCAGCTTAGAGTTGCATTCGGGCCTAAATAAGCCGACCCCGCCCGAGCCCATAGTCATTGTGTCTGACCTGAAGAGGCCCGAACCCGAGGCAAACCGACATGTTGCTTTTACTACTTTTGCAAGCAAATCAGTTTGACGTGATAGTTAAAAAAAATGTATTTTAAAGAAAAAAGATTTAAGATTTCTTGGTTATTAATAAGTCACCAAACGGATATTAACATACAAAACGAATAGCCTAAAAAAATCAACTCTAAAGATAGGCTACAAAAATATTTTTAGAGCAAAATTATTTAGAAAAAATATAGAACAAGGCTATTTTAATTTAGACCTAAAAGAAAGTCGTGCAAAATTAACCTGAGTCACGCTGTCGCTGATGATGGAGCGATTTAACCTACACCCAAGCAAAGAAGAGTGGGCGGGGCCACATGCACAATTAGTTGTGCAATGCGCCAGCGCTACGCCCTCTTTTCACAGTCTGATTAACTGCTGCACTCTACGTTCTTTCCTCATCCTCAACTTATGAACTTACTGCCTCCTCCTCTACAAGTATTAACACAATTTTATATCATGCATTCTCATTTAGTTTTCTTTGTGTGGTATAATTCGTAAAACCACAGCACAGAAGCCTGAGCCAGCCTACTCAACAAGCACGTCATTTTGGCCTGACGTGGCCTGAATTTTGGGTCGGTTTCGGCTCAGGCCATAAATCGCAACTCTAGTTCAGGTTGCTTCCATCTGGACGCAGGTAGCTGCTGCCCAGATGTAGAACGAACAGACTGAAAAACTCATTCATCCCTGTAGCGATCAGGCTTCTCAATGAACAGTGATGATTTCTAACAAAGTCCATGCTCAATAATCTAGGTATATAATCCAACATTTTTCGGTCAGGTCATCTGGACAGTTTCTTTTTTTTTGTGCTGAAACATTTCGCCTTTCATCCAGAAGGCTTCATCAGTCAAGGAAACACACAACACAAAACTGGTTCATCCCCCAACAGCTTACTCCAAAGTGGAACAAACCAGTTCTGCTTGGGATAAGATGGTCTCTTTGGTACGCCCCTCCTCCATTGCCGGCCCTCTTCCTTGTTGACAGTCGTATCAAATTGGTTGACACGCCTTCCGGATCGAAGACGAAACGTTTCAGCACAAAAAAAAAAATAAACTATCCAGATGACCTGACTGAAAAATTTTGGATTGTATACCTGGATTATTGAGCATGGACTTTGTTGTTTTCAACCAGTTTGACACGACTGTCAACAAGGAAGAGGGCCAGCAGTGGAGGAGGGGGCGTACCAAAGAGACCATCTTATCACAAGCAGAACTGGTTTGTTCCACTTTGGAGTAAACTGTTGGGGGAAGAATCAGTTTTGTTGTGTGTTTCCTTGACTGATGAAGCTTTCCGGATCGAAGGCGAAACGTTTCAGCACAACAAAGAAACTGTCCAGATGACCTGACTGAAAAATGTTGGATTGATGCTTTCTGTTCTGTTACTTTAATGTATCAATGATTTATCTAGTATGGATGTATGGTGCGCTTACTTGTGGAACAAATTGTCCCTTGAACTACTTGAACTAGTAGCTGACCATAATCCACAATACATACTATGAGCACTAAACATTGCGTATTATTTTGACTTAAAATTTAGCAAATACCTTTTTACTCCAACCATGACTGCCTGTTAGGAAAATATCTCATGAACCAGATGACAGACCTTACGAAACTCTCAAAGTGTAATCAATAGGCTGTTTCACAAAATACTTAAAGCTGGGACTTAGCCGCTCTTCTCTCAGCTGCAGTGTGACTTCTGAATGAACTGAGCTATTGGTCAGGCTACTACTTCTTGGGAGGACCCCCAGACACCCCCCCCCCCCCCCCCCCCGGGCCCCCCCCCCCCCCCCACACACACACACATTACAAATGCTTCTGATGTCAATGGTTGAGTGGGTCTTGTTTTTTGTTAGTTTCTGGTAGGGAAACTCCAAAACATATAGTGCCAGGGACCAATGATGAAGTACAGACCTTTCTAACTTTATTGGCCGATGTTGGGATTCAACATGAGCTGGACGGTGTCACAAGAAATGAGTGTATTTACAGAACGATATCGGAGATGATGGCTACACCCGGATATACAGTATAAGCAGTGCCGGGATAAGCTAAAGAAATTTAAGTTGGATTATAGGACGATTAAGGACCACAATGGGCAAAGTGTCTCAAACACAATGACCTGTGATGATACTGCCCACAGAGCTGGGAAACAATAAGTCAAAGTGGCAATCACCTACACCTGAATGAACTTAAGAGGAACTGCTAAGACGAGAACCGAGTGGAATCGCACTCATCAGTGTCAAAGCGGCTTTTGTACTGTATGTAACGTAAAAACTATCCATCCATTTTCTTTACCCGCTTCTTCCTTTTCGGGTTACAGGGACCCATAACCAGCCAACACTGTGTGAGAGGCAGGGGACACCCTGGACAGGTCAAAAGTCCAACACAGGTCCACATAGAGACAAATTTATAGAATTGCGCTGTTCGCGGTGGCTACATGTTCGAGTAGCTCTGTTACATTCATTCTGAAATTTTGCTTTCGGAAACTTCAATTCCTGTTTTTCTGAATGTAAATCACCTTTTTTTTTTTTTTGGATGATTACTACCTCTGGTTTCAGATGCTGTGCAGCTGGAAGGATTTTTACTGAAACACTTTTGCTTTTGGACATTTGTTATGATGCATAACCATGACAATGGTTGGACAATGGACAATGATGATGCTTAGTGTATATTTAGTTGATGTTTTTCTTAGTTCATATCTTAGATGTTATTACTGTTTTTCTTATACATTTTATTGTTGGATGTAACTGGGACCCTGTGTACATAATTTCGCTCCACCACATGTACCACATGAGGTGCGAATGACAATAAAGAAACTCTGACTCTGACAAGAAGGTGGTGCTTTTACAACCAGGAGCAGCTGATTAACATCTCAAAAGCTAAATAATATCTCAACTACAGCTTCAAATCTTAAATTAGTTGAAAAGGAGGCTCCGTGGATGCATTCCTGTCTCCCTGTAGGCTGTGCTCAAGTACCTGACCACTGAGATCCTGGAACTGGCAGGAAACACAGCTCATGACAGCAGAAGGACCGGGATCGTCCCCCGACACCTGCAGCTGGCTGTCCGCAGTGACGAGGAGCTCTGCAGGCTGCTGGGAGGAGTGGCCATCGCTCTGGAAGGAGTTGTACTCGGTATTCAGGCGGTCCTGCAGCCCTGGGGAACCAGAGGCCAGCAGAGTCTGGGTGGACAGATCGGATCAGTGGCCATTTTCTTTGATTCTGCTGTGGGACGGACCTTTACAAGACATCCTTCCTGCCTACAGCCATCAGTATCTATACCATCTCTTAATGAAATGAGGATAACGAGTTACAACAACATTTAATTTTCCTTTGGGATTATTAAAATATTTTTGAATTGAATTGAACTGAAACGAAACGAGGGCAGCACGGTGACACAACTGGTAGAGCTGCTGCCTCTCAGCGAGCAAGTCCTTGATTCAAACCCCGGTCCAGGGGCCTTTCTGGGTGGAGTTTGCATGTTCTCTCCATGCATGCGTGGGTTTTCTCCGGGTGCTCCGGTTTCCTCCCACAGACCAAAAACGTGCATGTTAGGCTGATTGGTAACTCTAAATTGTCCCTAGGTGTGAATGAGCGAGTGAATGGTTGTTTGTCTCTAGGTTGTTTGTCTCTATGTGTCCCTGTGATGGACTTGCAACATGTCCAGGGTGCACCCCGCCCCTCGCACAGTGATTGCTAGACATGGGCACTGGTGACCCCCGCGACCCAAAATGGAAGAAGCGGGTCAAAGATAATGGATGGATGGATGGATGAACCGAAACGAGACAAATAACCATTCACTCTCACACCTAGGAACAATTTAGAGTTACCAATTAGCCTAACATGCATGTTTTTGGTCTGTGGGAGAAAACTGGAGTACTCGGAGAAAACCCACGCATGCACAGAGAGAACATGCAAACTCCTCCCAGAAAGGCCCCCAGCTGGGATTCGATTTACAATCAGTTTTTTTAATACAATTTTCTTTCATTTGTTCTTCTCAATTTCTACACTTTCTTTAATGATTGTCTACTGCTGTCTTTGTTGTCCACTGTTGTCATCACTCTTTGTTAAAATCAGGTCTCTCTTGTAAATGAGTCCCCGAGGCTCAATGGAACTAACCTGTATAAATAAACGGTGAATGAATGAATGATATGGTGACCTTCTCTCCGAGAGGCGGCAGCTCTACCAACTGCGCCACCGTGCCGCCCAACGTCAAATTTCGGTAAAACTAATTTATAAACACATTTGTATCTAAGTTAAACATGTAAAGAACAAAAACATTAGAGCTGAACACTGAACTTGAATAGCTATTTGGGGCGTGGCACCCGAGTTTACACATGCACGTTAGTATGCTTGAAAAGATCTATAGATGTTGAATTTGGTGTGGTAGTAGGTGAGAGTCATCCTCAACATAATACTCCAAGCACTAACCAGTGTGCCAGATGTTTGTTTGAAGTGGTACCAGGTGAAATGCCTTGCTGGCTCCTTCTTACTACACATGCACATTTTAGGAGACTGAAGAGGAGTCTGGGTGTGTGCAGGGTGAATGAATGAGGAGGGGGTGAGACAATGGGGGGCAGAAAAAAGATGCGGGGGTGCGCGTATGTTTGGGGAGTACAGAAGGGAGCACTGCTGGAGGTGAAGGGGGAGGAGGACGGGGAGGTGTAGGGGGGCGGAGCTGCTCTCAACACCGTCCCTCCCCTTCCCCCTCCCTCCTCCCCGCGCGCTCTCTCACTCTGAGGCCACCCCCCCCCCCCCCCCCTCTCCGTTACCTGCTTTCAGCAGAGTCGGAGAAGTGAGAGCGCGAGAGTTACGGAGCAGCGCGTGCCACGTTGGGAGAGCAGTCGGAGCCTGAAGTGAAGCGAGCGCGCGGACACTTTGATTTAAGCGACCTGCTTTAAAGATAAAAACATCTCGAGCAGCTCAACCGGAGCCACAAACACAGAGACTCACTGAGGGACTGACCGAAGGACTCGGAGCCGCCAAGATGCACTTGTTGTCCGCCCTCCTCCTCCTCCTCCTCGCGCTCCTCTGCCAAGGTAAGCTTCTTGTCTGGTCGGCTAACTTCAAACACATTTCCTGTTGGCGGGGTCAGAGGATTCAAAATGTCTGTTTTCACCTACAAGTTATGAGACCGAGTACATGCATGCGCAGCTCCTACAGACCATGAGTCCAACACGAGGAAAATCTGCTGAAGTGTCTCTGACTGATGGAGTGATCATCACTTGGCATGATGTCATTGTTTCCTGTTTTCTATCAGGGAGTTGGGCAGAGTGATGCTGTATGATTTATGATAATTATGGGCTGCCAGCATTCCTCCCAGTCTCTCTCTCTGGGTCTGAATGGGCCCAAATGTCTGAATCCTTGCTTCCGATCAGGGTTTTTATTCTAACGAAGAAGGTAGAAACTCCCAACAATGGCTGCTTTGTCTCATCTTGTCCGTGTTTTGCACATGTTTTGCATTTGTGGTGGTGTCTTTTTGCAGATTTCCATATTATCTCGAGGTCAACAGGTAACAGCCCACATGTGTTCTCATCACTCATCCCCGGGGCCGCAGGCTGAGCTTGCAGCACTTTCCTGGGATAAAGAAAAGGGGAGTGGGTTGGCTCGCCCGCACGGCACTGGAGCCTGTTGTTGTAAATTAACACTGTAGCACCTTTCAGCCAAGCTCAGGTGGTTTTATATGAGAGGAAAAGCCACTTTGAGGTGCCCCCCCCCCCACACACACACACCACCTCTGTGTGTTTAAAGACAAGAGTTTAGAGACAGGTATTAAATGTGTTTGCTTTTTAAGACATGAGGTTTATGAAGAGTCAACTGTGCCACGTGTAAAATGCTGCCTGTAGGTTTTTATCAAGCTCTGCAATAGCAATAAAACATGTTATTGTATTACCAATCTGAAACCCACAGGAAAAGAAAACAGGAGTTACTCGTGAGACAAACCCCTCCAGAAAGATGCATCTGTTTTTCTGTTCACCCCCACACCCCTGACTCCACCCTTCCACCACCCTCCTCTTTGAACAGGCCGACGGCGCTCCGAGTCACAGCTGGTCTTACTTGTCCGGCGAGCCAGGCTCTTTTTTTTTTTTTTTTTTTTGCTAATGGACTAATCTCTTGTGAAGGGTGGATGGTGAAGAGGGTGGTGGTGGTGGTGGTGGGGGGGACGGTCACTTAATTTCACCTGAGAGCCATTCACTCCCCACTCTTTCATCTAACTAGGTTATGCTGAGACTTGCCTCGTGAACGCTCTGATGTTGAGTCGGTGAGAAAATAAAAAGGTGGTGGGGGTGTTTAATTGCACGTTAGGGTCCTTTTGCTCGACTGTTCATTCGTCTTTTTTAAATTCTGCTTGTGGGGCTACTTTTTTATCCCCCCC